GTTTGTTGATGCACAAATACATGATACATCTACTCTTTCAAACTTAGGATAGGATAACTTATCAAAGTAACGGTACTGTTTACAAATAATAGCAACCACAAGTAACGGCAGCATGAATTTAGAAGCGATGTATGCAGAGAACCCCATATAGTTGTTCAAGGATATGTGACATATGCCAATGTAACTCCGAAACTGCTTAAACTAATTTAACTGATCTTGCTAGGGTTTCTTCCTTAACATTGGGTGATTGTTTCAGGTAGAGGATTTGTCTGCTAGGCAAGTATATGAGAAAGTTCTGAAGGCTGTGCAACCTTGAATCTTTACAGTTCAAATGTCAGCTCTAATGAATGTCATCAGTCGACGTGTATGTTACCCTGGACATCAGCGGTACAAATTTTTCTTGTGTTAGTTGTGATTGTTGTGGTGCAATATGGAATTTCAATTGTACAATCCCTGTATCTTTTAATGATTTGGTTGAATATATGCACCTTTTTCTATATCCGTTATAATCCACTCTCTCTTCTTTCACCTCTATGAAAGATGTCAGCAATATGATAAATAAGATCAGTGTCAATTTTTGCGCAAGTAGGGAAGGGTCACGAAATGTGATTCCTCGTGGCAGTCAATCGCGTAAACGCTGCCCAAGATCCAAACAAGATTAGTGTAAACTTTTGTTTACGACAAGTAGGGTTAGGCATACGGATGGTGTAACTGTGAGCAATCTCCTTGATGAATAGAAACAAGTTTGATGAATGCATCTAATTACACTACTTTCAAGTACACTAACAATATTGTACTAATGAATCCTAGTTATTCAGTCTAAAATATTTCAATTGAAGTAGTTTGTCATACTAATTAATATTTAAGATAAAATTTATAAATAATTTTCTTCTAAAAATAAAGTATATAACACAAAATCTTCAAAAACAAAATAAAGTATTTATTTTGTAGTCATAAGCCCAAAAAAAAAAAAAAAAAAACTTGTGCGACGTAGGTACATGCGTCGCACAAAGATATTTTGCGCAACGCAGGTGTATCTACGTCGCGCAAAGCTATTTTGCGCGAAGCATGTACCTACGTCGCGCAAGTTTTTTTTTTTGGCTTATGAGTACAAAATAAATACTTTATTTTGTTTTTGAAGATTTTGTGTTTTATAATTTATGTTGAATGTATTCTGGTATATGAAATCTACTTGCAAATATTTGTTTTAAGTAAGATGTGTTAAGCTCGACTCTTGTTGATGACCAATTAGAACTTTTTCACGTCATCGAAATATTACTCTTTCAAGTAGCATCATCTCAAATCTCTTAGCCTCTCCTCTATTTCCTCCTTCAAGAGGTTCTTATTCCATGCCTTTGTTTGACCGGCCTTCACAAACCTCCTAACATTCTACTCCAAGCACTAAACAGTATTACTAATAACGAAAACTTGAATCGGATACACTACTAATTAAGGCAATCTCCAACTATGGAGGGCTACATAGGCCTCAAAAATATAATTTTTTAAGGAATAATAACAAACTAATTTTATAAATTTTCACACACAAAGTATATTCAACATAAAGTATATAACACAAAATCTTTAAATTTTCCGTCTTCAATCTTATTGGCTAAATCTTACTCTCTCTATATTTTTATCACGTACTTTTTAGTATGCCCAAGTACCTTTTCACCATGTCAATAACTAACAAGCTCAAAAAGAAATGCCTAACTGCTTGGGGGTGGCACTTTTTAGGCCTTCTAGGGGCTGATTCGAGCCCCGAATTGAAGGGAAATCTATGAGATTCATGTGGGATTTCTAATGACTAGCATGCATATACAATTCAAAATTTATATACGAAAGCAACGGAAGCATGTTATCAAATAATATCAAAGCTATAGTCATGCAAATCCCCTTCAAGGTTCATAGGTTTATATATGATGCATCAAAACATTTAAGTAAAGAACAAAGTGTAGGAATAGATCTATACCTCTTGATCTAGATTTTAGACCAAGGATGGACCACCTCCAAGCCTTTTGTTCCTTGAACTCCTTGAGCCTAGCCTCCCTCCTTGCCTCCTCCACTTTGTTAGTATGAGTGCTCCTTTGGTTCTCCTTTAGTCTCCAAAGTAGAAGACCTCTAAAGATCCACATCCACTAGTGTAGTGAGATGGATGGAGGAATGACCAAAAGGGTGAAAAGATGATTAGCTAAAATTACCCTTAAGGTGGCCGGCCTTTGGTGTTGAAGAGAGAGTAATTTTCTTTTTCTCTTTAGTTGTTTTGAACACACAAAAACCCTCTTTCAAATTATCTCTATAAAGTTCCTTATATAGACAAAAAAGAAACCTAGTCAACAACTTGACTTTCACTCTCTCCCTTTCCCTTTAAGTGGCCGGCCTTTAGTGTTTGGTTTGGGCTTTGGGCTTTTATTATTTCAATCATCCTATGCTTGAATAAAAGCCCAATGGGCCCAATTAAACCCGAACGTTTCTTTAAGCCCAAAACGATCTTATATCGCTTTTATGATTTCATTAGACTTTCTAATTAATCACAACACTTAATTAATCCAATTAATTATTCCCATCATCCATTAGTGGTATCACTACAAGAGTGTATCGGTGTACAATCATTTTAGGTTCTAATTAGCAAGGCAGTGAGGTGATTGGCACCAATCCAATTGATTATATTTAATCCAATCACTTAGTGAATTAAAACTTACTTTTAATTCACCTTCTTCTTTGACTACTACATTTAATCATCTAGAAGAACTCACAAGTCATGAGTGACATCTAACCATATATCATGGCTACCCAAGCTAATGTAGAATTTGTTCGGAGAACCTATTCAGTTGGAATTACAATGTAATTCGATCCTTCTCTAAAACAATACTCTCAATCACATCATTAGGTATGGATATATTATGTCAAACCCCTAATGTGATTACTCCTTCTTATATGATTCAATTGAGTCGTATAGGAACGCTTTCCTTTATTACGCTCGATACTTCGGCCGAAGATTCCAGAATCATATCTTAGAGTATTCTTCCTCTCTTAACGAAGATTAGAGATTCCTTGTTGCGCATTCACTTGCCTTCATGACTAAGTGGCGTAACCCCAACTATGCCGTGGACACCCGCGAATGGGGTGACTTTGACATAATCAAAGATCAAGTACTTAACCACAAGACAACGACGATGCCTCAGGTCAAAGGACTACTTACATTATTCCAACCATAAGAGTTACTTGCTTGACATGTGAGTAGACCTCCATGCAAGTACTCTCGTTCGATTGTGTTCAGTGAACTCATTCCCTTAATGAGCACCTACATACTTGTCTTAGTGTCATTACACGAATGGGATGAGACTTTCCATCCTTCCAATTGAAGCGGACATAGTATGTACCGGTCTATGCATTGTCAGTTTCCCTCCGACAATCCTATGACCAGGAACCTTTTGGACATGATGATTATGTGAAGAAGGTCTATGTAGTCTAACATCATTAGATTACTTCTTCAATCGATCCATTGTCCATGGATTCACTATTTAGGACATATATCGTTCATTGAGATAGTCCTAATTAGTATCTTTGCCATTTGATGTATAAGAGTCATCTATACATCCATTCATTTGTCCTGAAAGGTTTCTTCCAAAGATTGACTTTCAGGACATATTTCCAACACGAATACGCCCATTTGTAAAAGCTCTTTGGTTGGAGATTATTTTGTTCAATTTCAAGGTTAATATTGACCAAATTCCCTTTGATCGGAGATGGTCTAATTAACATCCCAAACCTTGATATATGAATGTTTGTTTTTTGCAATTTTTGGCGTACATGATCTCGAAGCATATACAAACAACTTTGACGGTTAGATCGTTCAAACTAGTTTCGTACAATGCGTATCACATCAAAACATTAGATTCACTAACACTTGGAGTTTATTTATATTGTCATTAAGTATAACATAAGATATTGTGGTATCCACTTGTGTCAATATTTTAAATTGATGATCAAATTAGTTTATTGTATTCATATAGGATTAAGGAGTGTAGCTGTAAAAAATCATCAAAATCGGAGTTAAATTAACCATTAAATCGTACTTTTTCGTTTATAATCGTCGAAAATTTTTGTCCCGTTACTTGATCTCTGTATGTTTTTTTTTTGCGATTTTTGGCGTACATGATCTCGAAGCATATACAAACAACTTTGACGGTTAGATCGTTCAAACTAGTTTCGTACAATTCGTATCACATCAAAACATTAGATTCACTAACATTTGAAGTTTATTTATATTGTCATTAAGTATAACATAAGATAATGTGGTATCCACTTGTGTCAATATTTTAAATTGACGATTGAATTAGTTTATTGTATTCATATAGGATTAAGGAGTGTAGCTATAAAAAAATCATCAAAATCGGAGTTAAAATAACCGTTAAATCATGATTTTTCGTTTATAACCGTCGAAAAAGTTTTGTCCCGTTACTTGATCTCTGAATGTTTGTTTTTTGCGATTTTTGGCGTATGCGATCTCGAAGTACATACAAACAAGTTTGACGGTTCGATCGTTGATACTAGTTTCGTAGAATGCGTATCCTATCAAGTTCAATAATATATATATTTATTAAGTAACTTTAAATTTATTTATTTTGTTATAACACTTAAAAAATTGAATGATATATATATTTATTAAGTAACTTTAAATTTATTATTGTAGTTCGCATTAGGTTATTTTCAGAAATATATATTATTGTGTTTTACGTAAAAAAAATGAATTTCAAACGAGTGAAATCACATTTTCTATAATAAATGTTTTTTTAAAATATAACTTGCGCGACGCCTCCTACGTCACGCAAACATACTTTGCGCGACGCTTCAACAAATGCGTCACGCAAAGTATGTTTGCGCGACGTCATAATCTATACCTTCGTCGCGCAAAGTGTTAAAATTTTGGCGGTACAATTGTAAATATTAGGCGCTTTTTTTTTAAATTTTCCCAAATTATTTTTTTTATTGGACAAAACGTCGATCTCTTCCCTCTCGCCCATCTGCAAACAAATCTCTCTCTTCCCTCTCGATCACATCTTCTGGTTTCACATCGCACGGTTTCACATCTTCCGGTTTCACATCGCACGGCAGATAAAAGGTAAAGCCTTCCCCTCTGATCCCCGAATCTAGGGTTCTTCTAACCAGTCCAAAATTCACTCTCACTCCACAAAACCAAAAGCCTTCGAGCCCCCCACTTCCTCTTTAAACATAAAAATTGAAGCTTTATTTGCTTAATCTCAGTTTAGTTGGTAATTATTTGCTACATTTCGCTAATTGTATCTCGTTCTCTCTAATTTCTGTTGCTCAGCTCTTTTTCTTGTTTCAATATCAAATGCGCGTTCTGGTTCTTTGATTTTGGAGTGTATATGTTGATTATATGGATTTAGGTTTTTGTTTATATTTTTCACGATTTGGAATAATTTTATTTATATTGATGTATTTTGGTTGACTTTGTAGCTGCAATTGTTGTGCCCTGCTTGTTTGGTTGGCTGGAAAATGGTGTTTCTGGGTCTTTAGGTCCTGTTCTGGATGAAGGCAAGTTCCTAGTTATTATCTCCCCTGAGTACTCTACTAATCTTAATAATTCTACACGGAAATGCATGTCCCTTCATTACCTTATGTTGCTGTTGAAGACTGTTTATCTATTAGTTAGGCTATGAATAACCAAGTTGCATGCAGTAATCACCCTGTTTGTGTGATTAAGCTTTCCCTTAGTTCATTTTCCTGTTGAGAGCTTTACGGATCTTGCAATGTAACATTTCCCTCAAATTGCATGTTGATTTCTAATTTTCCATGGAATTTTGGGTTTTCTTTTTTATGTTTAATTTTCTGTAATTTTATTTGGCTCTGTTTGCGGTTGAGGGTAGTTGGAAGAAAATCATGTATTCTGCAATCCATTGCAAAATCTCAAGCACAGTTTCTGTTTTTTTAAACAATTATTCTCTGTAGTGTTTCGTGTGTGAGGACACATGCTTATTCTCAGTGGTATTCTAATTTGTTTAGTCGGCTATAGAATAAGTTCTTTTTTAATCAATTATCCTGAAATTAACTCTCCAACAAGTGATGTATGAAATGAATTGGTGTATTATTTTATATGGAATGACATGAAGACTGAATTGGAGTTATGTAATTTGTGATTTTTGTTGTTCGTCTTGCTGAGATTTTTGTTAATTTTGTACCACTCTGTGTCGCAGCGGTATCACCATTGCCACCCAACAGACCCAATTGGCTGTAGTTCAATTACTGTTCTTGGAGGGAGGTAAAGCTATTATCATTTTGTACAAAGTGTTGGTTTTTTTTATTTGGCTGATATATTTTGTGTTTTTTTATCTGTTGGTTTAGCCTATGTCGAATTCCGCTATGTCTTAACGTTCACGTATGCCTTATATGTGGTGATTTTTTCAGTGTGACTGTCTATAACATTACATGGTGTTCACACGCCATCGTTTTGTTATTGGTATTGTGTATTCGTTGTTGGATTTCATTCCGCTTTGATAGTGTTTAATAGATAACACTAAAATTCTGCCAATTATGTTGGTTCACCATAAGTTCTATGCTTTACAATAAACTGAACACTTGCAGTAAAAATGTTGATTATCTTACATAATTGCAGTGGATTCATGGGTATGCATCGTGTGTGTTCAATACAGAGAGTTTGTTTCTTTTTTGTTTTTGTTTGAGGCACAAAAAAGGCAATCTGTTTTGCCTTTTTTTTTCTTTTTTCTTTTCTCTTTCACTTTTTATTGGTTCAAATAATAAAGTTACGATTGAAAATACCTTATTTTGATTATTCTTCATCAAACTTAACCATGTCAACCCCTCTATTGCTTTTACAATATAAGGTACGTTAGTAGAAGGAGTTTTGCCCTCTTTTCTCATTTTTAAACACGTAAAAAGATAATGTCTGTGTGTTTTTTCTTTTTTTCATTAGCTTTGCACTGAATGGTGTTTTTTCTTTTTTTTTCCTTTGTTTTGCACTGAAAGGAAAAGAGTGGCTCAGTGATTTGGTTAGCGTTTGAACGCTTATAGGGATCAAATATAGAGTCAAGGGATTTCAATGCAGTGTTTTGGTGAAGAGTTATTATGATTAACTTCCTTTCTACAATTTTTGTCTTCTATTATTTTCTATTATGTAATTAAAATATCATGTCATGCTGAAAAAATGATGTCACTGTTGATGACCCGTAGCATCGCGCGGGCATTACTGCTAGTGTGTTTTTGTACATTTGGTTTTCCTGTGTCTTTACTTCATGGCACAAGAATATATTCACTTTTATTAGTCCAAGTGGTGATTCGGTTCAAATGCAAGAAAGGATTAGTTTCTAATGTTATATTTTTATGGTTCAAAAAGTGTATAGATGTCGCAGTTGATCACTCGTCGTCGGAGTGTGACCAATGCGTCTTCCGCATTATCAGCATCTACTGCTCCACCCGTGAGTGCTCCATTGATTCAAGAGCCTACACCCCTTGCTGAGGCTACTTCTACGGCGTCTCAGGTACCCGTCTCATCGACATCATCAGTGTCGGTTCAACCGCTCAGTGCACGACGGCCTCACCGGCGCCGCCGCGAGCCGGAGCCTTCTGATCACACTTCCTCGGCATCCAGAGTCGAGGGTGAGGCCTCTCGGCCAGGTACATTTTTTTCTAATTCTCACTACGTTGTATTTTTTTTTTCATTTTATAACTATTATTTTTATGATGGTAAAAATATGCTGGATTGTGAAAATGTGTTGCAAGTTGTGAATTACTGTTATTTTATTGTTTTAAGGTTTTGGGAAATGCTATACTATTATGGGAGGTTGTGTCGAAATTTTTGTACAAATTTAAGCTTAGGGTTTTCACCATTTAAGTATTTTTGGCCAGCTAAAAAAAACACCAGGGGGCCTAGTCGAATGCTGAAGCACAAACAGATCGTACGTCAGACCGGCTCCAAGATCAAGATTGTGTATGACCCGCGACATCGTGGAGCGTCTACCTCACAGCAGCATAGCTTCATCGTTAGTAGCTGTGGTGTTGTTATTCGAGACAATTGTCCTTTTCAGTGGCAGTCTTGGGCAGAAATTCCCGAGGACAAGAAGGAACTGGTGCGACACGAGTTGTCGGTTAGTATATTAATTTTTAGCCTTTATCATTTTTTTAATTTTGTTTACATATATTAAAAACCAAAATATATTATCTTTAATATTATTAAATTTCTTACTATTATTTTATTATTTTTCATATTCGTAGTTCATTTATGATCTTGATGACGCATCCCCCGAGGTCATGGCCTACTTAGAGGGGATCTTAGCAAGCCGGTAAAAAAGTTGGAAGAATAATTTTCACAATCATTTTTAGAAATGGGATAATCTAGAGATTGCTCGCTTACATGTTCCAAGCGAATTGAATGACCGGCCAAAGGATTGGGAGTGGCTCTGCAAGCATTTTACGGACCCAAACTTTGTGGTATGTGCATAATATTTTAATAATAATTTATTATTGTTTTAGTTATTTTTTAAAGCTTTTTTTATTAATTTATTTCAAATAGTCGTACTAACATGTATATTGTGTGTTTAACAGAAGAAATATGTTGTTGGCCAGATAGCTCGGGAGTCAAAGACACTTCTCCACCATTCTGGTTCGAAGCCCTTTTCGTATAGGCTTGAGGAACGACGTCAGGTAATACTATATTAACTTTGAAATTTTATACAATTTATTTATTATTATTAATAAAATTTTCTTAATGTTTTTTTTCTTCAGGAGGGTTCTAAGTTCCCAGAGATCGACATGTTCAAGGATGTTTACGTTCGACCTGGTAATGAAATCGTTGAGCAGTTTTATGTAAGTATATGTAATTATTATTATTCTTATATGTATGAATCGTTCAAATATTATTTATATTTTGTTATTAAACATTATATGTTTTTTCTTTATTATTACAGGATACTATGGTGGAAAAGAGCACTGTTGTTCTCCAAGAAGCAGCATCGCAGCTTCCCTCGGAGACTTCGATCGAAGACGTCATGGTACCAGAGGATGTAGGTTTTCAGATCATGACTGAAGTCCTGGATTAGAACCTTGGTCGTCGTCATGGTCAGGTTGTTCGGGGTATGGGGAAATCATGGGTTCATGAGACGGGTACCTCTTCTTCCAGATTGAACACATCATTGATGGATGAAGTGACAACCTTAAGGGGTAAGCTTGCGATCCAGGAAGAGCAGATGAGGGCCCAGGGCAAGCAGATGAAGGCCCAAGGCGAGCAGATGAAGGAGCAGATGAGAGCCCAGGACGAGCAGATGAAAGCGCAACTGAGGGTCCAGAGCGAGGAGGTGAGGACCTATGCTGAGACGGTGAGAGACCTTGTACGAGCCATACAGACGGCAGGCCTACAAGTCTCGCTACCAGCTCATCTTGATCCACCTTCGACCTCAGAGCCACCTCACCCTCCCGATACTCAGAAACTTGATGTTTTAAACCTAGTTCACTTGTAGTTTTTTCTTTTTTGTTTGGACATCTTGTATGTATACATTTTTATATATTTTATAATTAAATACTTTTACTTGGTTAATTAATTATTATTTACAATTTAATTACAATATTTATCAAAAAATTAGTTTTGACCAAAACATTAAAAAAAAAAAAAAAAGGTTTGCGCAACGTAGGTCGCGTCACGCAAGGCCATTTTGCTCGACGTAGGTCTTGATTCACGCAAGGCCACTTTGCACGACGCAGGTCCTACGTTGTGCAAAGTGGCTTTGCGCGACGCAGGACCTACGTCGTGCAAAGTGGCCTTGCGCGACGCAGGTTATACCTTCGCCGAGCAAACTCTAGCGTCACTGACTTGGCGCGACGAATGTACGTCAAGCAAACCCTTGGGCAACGATTGTGGACTTTGCACGACGAAGGTACCTAAGCATGTTGAGGTTGATAGACACTTTATCAAATAAAAGCTGGAAAAGAAGATTGTGTCAATACCGTTCATGAACTCAGAGGAACAACTTGCGGATATCCTTACTCATGTCGTGTGTAGTAAGAGGTTCGATGACTTATCAAGTTGGGCATGTGTAACATCTATACTCCAACTTGAGGGGGAGTATTGGTGTGTGTCTATATTTTAGGAGAAAGGGAATGTAAATATTTTGTAATTATTAGAGTCATGTTTTAGGAAGGATATTGTGTCCTTTACTTTTGTTTCCTTTTGCAACAAGGATTGTATGTACTTTTATTCAAGATTATGGAATACATAAAAGTTAAGCCGTAAAATTCTATTATGAAGAGGGCAATTTTCACTTACCTTCAATTAAGAGGAATTTGTAAAACGTGGTGATGGATGAAGTGGTGGTGGCGGCTGTGTGGGTTTTGGATGAGCAACAGAGATATGGGTTTTTGGATTCGAACTGCAGCAAGAAGGAAAATGTGTAGGGATGTGTTGATTCGGACTGGAGCAAGAACGAAGTGGTGGAGGAGGAAAGCTGCGAGTGCACCACGCGTAAAATGGGCCTTTTAGTCTTTTAACTATACAACCATAAAATAAACGAAGAAAAGAACGTTTGAAGAGGGGCAATTCTGCCAATTCACTGTGCTTAGGAACAATGAACCTCCTTTACTGGGTTTTAGTATATATAGAATTTGTATCAGTATACTAAACAAAATTAAACTTGTGTACTTCTGCATAATTCCTAACTAAAAATTAAAAATGAAATGATTATGGTGAGCTTGTTGATAATTTTAATTTTCTTTTTAAATGCATCTTGTGTTTAACGATACTTTTATAATAAAGTAAAAAAGACAATTCATAGTAAAAATTTCAAATGCCATTTCCCGTTACTATGTTGTGGGAATAAAAAGTTCCCGCTACTTATAGAACATGTTTACCACTATTATAGCATTCCAATCTTGTAGTATAATGCTTTGTATAAATTTGATAATATGTGACATTGCATTATCGAACCAGAACATCACGTGACAGTATATCATCTAGTAAACTAATAAGATAAATAAATGAACTCCCATCTAAAAAGTAAATAGGGACCACTTGCTCAAAATGGGTCTCCCTCAACCATTCGAGAAATTTTTTGATTCAGAGGCCGGACCAGTTGACCATACGGCTCCCACACACAAAAACATCTCCACTCCATGAGCTCCTTGATTTTTCCGCACAACCCCGACCCCATTGTACCCCACCCTCCCTCGCACGAAACGAAAGGCCCACCATCAACGGTGTCCGCACCCAAAACCTTCACCAGCCATATGCCATTGTGGTCCACCCAAAAGTGGTGTGGGCCGTCACCAAAGATTAGAAAAGAAATAGTTGGACCCACCAACTCTATCTAGAGAGACCGAACCCGAGCGGTACTTCGCTGGTCCTTGTCCATAAGTGCTTGTGCAGTAGGCCCACCGTGTTAGAAAACTAGACGCGTATGCGGTAAGGTCCCAACTTTAATCCTTCGTATCCCGGGAGAGGATTCTCTCCGAATCTTCATGCATTTATTTTAATCGTTTATCATATATTATATGGTTAATTTTTATTAAATACTATTTGTATTTAATTTTAAATAAACGATTTAAAATAATTTATGATCGTACGATAACTGATGAACGATAAAATGAACTGATCTCTGAAACCCTCACAAAAAGAATCTAAATAGAATCATATTCCTCATATCCCACCCATATATTCCTCATATCCCACCCATAAAAAGGCAAAGCGCCCCCGGGGACCCAAACCAATGGACAAAATTTTTGTTTCCAAATTTGGTTACGAGCCCTCCACCACAATGGTATAGATGAGTATTGCACTTACACTACCATGTGGGTTTGAACCTCATTGATTCCCAAATCTAACAAATCTATCATTTGACAAAAAAAAAAATGATCTCTCAACAGTTAGTTTTGTCAATTACTTAGTCAAATTGAGGATTATTTTTGTCCATTTATGTTTGGGCCACACACCTAAGATGTAAGAATGAGGTTGTAGCACATTAACTTGCCACTTGAAATTGGTAACCCATTAATAAACCGCAGTTGTCACTACTAATTTCAACTCTCTTATCTTATGTATCCATTATTATTTTCACATTTTTGTCTAGTATGGGGCAATTGGAGAACGAGAGATGATTAATATGTGTACTTGATAAATTAGAGGCCTATACACTCCTATTTGTAGGTACAATTCCCCTAATATATGGTCCAAAACAGTTATCAAAACTCCATTTTAAATGGTCTTGTGGTATTTTTCTTCACTTGTAAGAGAGAGGTCTAAGGTTCAATTGTCACCAAAAGACGACTTTGAATCACATTATTACTAGCTCATTATGAGGCTTAGCCTACTCCCTTTGAGGCCATTAGGGGAAGGAAACATTGGCTAAATTAAGATTATTTGAGCAACATACATTGAGCATTTAACAATTAAAGAGCGAAAGCTTGTACATTTGCTCTCCTTTTCTTCGTTGGATCTTTGGCTTCTTGAATTTGGATGATGGAATAGGAATCTCCAAGTTCACAAGAGAGGGAATCTCTAATTTCTCCACACCAAGGAGAGATGTGAAGAGAAGATGAGTGGCCTTGGATGAAGATTGATGCTAGTGAATCTCCTCATAGGGGGGCGACTTTGTAGAGAGAAAATTAGGAGAAATGTTTCCTAATTCCTCCTAACAAAACCTAAGTGAGGCTTAGGTTATAACTCCTTTTTTATAGTCCCTCGAACTTGAATGACTTGGAAAAACCTAACCCTCTCTCTATAGCCAGCCTTGTAGTTTCATTGGGCCTTTGGGGGTCCTTTAAGTTTTAAGATGTCATACAATTTATGTGATATTTGGTCCCAGAGTTTATTATCTATTTATTTTTTGTTTTAAGAAAAGTGTTTAGAGGAGCGTTTTGGTTATTTTATATTTCATTTTGGTGTTTTGACGTGAGTTTAGAGTAGATGAATAGACATTGATTTCATAAGAGTATAGGCATAAATGGCGTCTAAAACAGAGTTAGAACAAATAAGTTAGAAGCGTTTTAACTTGGAGGGCATTTTGGTCCTTTTCCAAATGCTATGAATAGCAAGGAGGCCCATAATCTCATAAAAATCCAACTTTCTGAAATTGGAAAGTTTCAACCCAGACGAGACCCGGTTAAAGTGTCGGGTCAACCCCAACTGTTCATGACCCAATAGTTTGACTGTACGTAAATTCTCCATCCGATCACCATTATGGGTGATATTGGTGTCCGCTGAAAGCTATCAACGATCCTTTTGTTCTTCTTACTTAGTTGTAGACAATAAAATTTAGCTCGAAAGTCCCTAATACTCTAAAACCTAGATTTCAAGATGGTCATTTCTGGCAACAATCTTGGTGGAGCACCACCTGAGTTTTGTATCCCTTCCTCGATTCCAAGAGTAAAATCGGACTAAAATCACTGACATCGGACCTCCAACGATGACACATTTGGGCACCATGACTTGAAAAAACACACGCCGG